GCATTTCCATCAGCTATATGTGGAATAGAAATTGTATTTATATATCACCTTTTATTATCTGTAAAGTAAGACTGATTTACAGTGGAAAACAAAAAAATTGAAAATATAGGCATAAACAGAAAAAGAAACAAATATGAGGCAACATAAAAATAGGCGTGAGTGAAAAGTAAAATCTGAATTAATAAAGCAGAATACGTCAAACATGTTACACGGCAATAAAAGCCACAAAGAAATGCAGTACGTGTCTGCATACAGCGACGCACACACACGCACGCACACACGCACGCACGCACGCACGCACGCGCACACACACACACACACACACAGCGATTAGCTACAGGTGTGGGAGAATATGGAAGTTTTTGAGAGTAACAGTTGTCATGGACTTTGAATCATCAAGCAGCTTGTTCCAGAGAACAGGATCAGCGTGACTGAAGACAGCCTCGTCAGAATAATTCTCACAGATTGACTTCTGTACGTTTATTTTACAGGTGTCAACAGGTTATCATCAAAGAGTGTTGGATATGTATTTAGAGGCCAAAAATTAAAGCCAAGCATATTTAATACATGCGTTTTTATGAGTTTTTGAGACTTCTCTTTTACCCTCAAAAAACGATATAAATTGCATGATAGATTTTTAATGACTAAATTGTAAATGTGATACAAATTAAAACTCATATATGCAGATTAAAAATAATATATCTTTTATATATTTTGCTTAAAGGTTCAACAAACACTCCATTATCAAATAATTAAAGATTTCTGGCAGTTATTTCATGTTGCAGGTTTTAAAGGGTTAATAAATACTGAAGGTCCAAGTCAAAACAACTGAAATGGTTTAAAATATGTGTCAGTTAGAAAGATTATTTTCCTTGTTCTTGTTCTTGCTAAGATTTAAGGGGGAAAAGGACATATTCTGATTTTATAGGGTTAAGGTTTGGATGTAATGACCTTGCAGGGATAAAAAAAAAAACTGTAAAGAAATTGAAACCCTAGCTTATTAGAGTGTTAGGAGGAGTAAATGATGCTCAGTTATTCCCTCCAGTTTGCACTCCCATGTATTGTCTCATTTTCATGACCCTGGATTTATTCGACTTGGATTAAGGATTTCTACCAGGACCGTTTTTTTGTAACTTTTGTAAATGTCAACCCTACAACACCACAATTAATGTCTCCTGGAAAGATTGTCTGAAACTGTGTGATATTATTCATGTTTCCTTTTTTTATTCAACCATATCCATCTCTCCTCCTCCCTAACCCTCTCTATTACAGCCAGGCTTTCAGCTATAAACAGTTCTAGGAGACCACATACCTGCACTCCTTACTGCTGTTAGGGTTAATTAGGTATTGATTTGATCAGGACCAGGCAAGGGGCCTTATTCTAAAGGCTTTGGTCACAATGAATTATTAATGTTCATACAGAACTATATATAGTGTGCATCCAGTGGTCACAAGAAAGTCAAGCGTTGGTTCCTCTGTGCTGCTTAACCCAATCCCTGTTTGCTCCCCTCTCTGCTTCCTGCTCAGATTGATTGCACTACTTCCTTCAGGGTCATGTTCATTTTTTTTCCTTTTGGCTGTTGGAAATTTGAGAGATGTTGTTTCTTTACACGTTTGGGTGTGCTTTGATTTGACAAGCACACCCTGAGTGAATTTTTTAGTTGCTTCATTGCTCTTGACAAATACAAAGCAGCGCTGTGAGAGCACCGAGAGGCAGACTTTTACCAATCTGATGTTGATGGTGTTTTCCTAAGAGATATATCCACACAATATTTTTTTTTTAAAAAGGTCCAAATCTGGTTAACGCCAAGCAGAAACATCAGTGAATGAATGCCAAAACTGCAGTTCATCTAATAACCCAAAGTGAGCCTCCTTTCAGCCTTGAGGAAGTCTGTCTGTTACGAACAAAAGCTTTGGTCTCTGCAGAGTTTCCAGCCTTCATAATAACTTGCAGCTAACGAAGCTTGCTAGCATTAGTTGATTAGCATCTTCTAGTCTAAATATGGCAGCTTTTAGCTCCAAGATTCCAAAATGGTGGCAGGCATTATGTGGCTACATCCATCTATTATATAGAGTGTGGGGTTATCATATTTTCTGTCCGCTTTCATTAACTCGTAAACATACCATAAAATGCCAAAGCTTTAATTAAAAAAATAATGGCTCCTAGTGTAAAGTTGCCGAGCATGTATGTCTACATCATCCACTTCTTCTTTATCGTTAAAGTGCTGTGTGTGTTATACCCTGCATGTGCAGCAGCTTCACCGTGATTCACTGCATCGGTCATTTGTTCACATATTTGCCACAATTGCTTGTCATGTGCACCGAAATGCACACCGTTCAGCTTGATGTCTGCTGATTCTGTGCATGTGTGCATTTTTGTGTATGTGCCTCAGTTTTGGTCATGCTCCTCTCAGCTGTGCTGCTGTACAGTGAAGTGAAATGAAGTGGCACAGTGGAGATTTTAAAGATTTGTGTGCGAGAGAAAGAGGAAGAGAGTTTATATTCACATGTATTTTTGCATAACACAATGACACAGTCCCGGATGCCATAGTGTGTGTGTGTGTGTGTCTGTGTGTGTGGTCTCTTTCTACTAAGTCATGTGTGACTGCTTTTGGACCAGCAGTGTGTGTGTTCACTAACTGACCTACATTTCTGGAGCTTTTTGCCAGTGGCTCAAGAGACTTTGTCACCGTTATCTCATCTAGCCAATCACAGCCCCTAATCTCATTTTGCCCAATCGCATCCCCAATCTCATGTGTCCAATCATGGCTTTGGCCTTCGGGGGAGTCATCTTCTACTCTACCCGGGCTTCTGTCAGAGAAGCGTTTGCGGCTGACTGTACCTTTTAAACACTCACCATCTTATGGGCCAAATAGAGCAGCAGCTCAGTAATTTTGACTTTCAGCGCTGATTTCTCATGCAGCGCTGCAACCCTAATTATATCCCCCCAGCTTGAAAGGAGAGCTGTGTTTCTGCACACATTGCCAGCTGGAGAGGAAGGAGAAAAAATTGAAGCTTTTGAAAATTCTTTGAAGCTTCTGTTTTTTTGTTATCAAAGCCGTCTTTGTTGGTTGCATGAATTTTGCATGTGCAGGTTTAAGGGAACTGTGATGTGCGGGTGTGTGGTAAGCTGGGTAGGTGGATGTGTTTTCATACAACATGTTTTGCAAAATATAAAAAAGTGCCCATCACAATAGGTTTAATCAATACCATCCATGTGAATAGCAACTATAAAATACTAACTTCATTAAAAATATTAACTTAAAAATTGAACACATTTGGTTTGATGCTACTTGAATTGTTTCTAATCTAGTGCTGTAATCTATATAGATTATATAAAGTAGCTGTGTATTTATCGATAAGGGAGGACCTGTTAAATAGATGATGCTGGAGTTGTTGCAGTAGTTATCATGTTATTTAATTTTAAACTCAACCTGAGCTGGATTTTGCCAGACAAACGTCCTGAGTAATATTTCTGTATGTGTTGTTGTGTCACCACATGGCAGATGTTTCTGGAAATTAAAACATACGCACAAGTTCATTTGTATCTGGCTGTAGGCCAACACAAGCCTGGAGAGTAAGGGACAGATAATGAGGGATTTCTTTCTGTATCTCTTTCACAAACACACACCATTTCACATACTTTTTTCAGTGTTCCTGCACGTCTAAGCGCATAATCAGTAATCTGCTCATTGTTTTAAAACCAAGCGTATAAAGTCAAATTTTCATGGTGAAAATGAAAAAAAAAAGGGACTTGAAAAGCATCTGGAAATAAATACAGTGTTTGATAGATACACCGTCAGATTAAAGCTGACCGCTATTGTTGCGGTCACAGTTTGAAACCAGTGTGCTCAGATAGTCTAGAAGTTGAAAACCAGCTGTCTCGTGTCGTGTATTAATTACGGCAAAACAAAAATAAGAGCAAAATCAAACCAGATCCATTCCAACTGTGTTTCTTCCACATTGGATTGAAACCTATAAAATGCAGCTGCAATCCTTGAATCTTTGACCTCTTTCCTATATTGGTTGCTTATAGTGTTGGTGCTGTGGGAGCTGAAGTGTTGCTGCTGACTGTAATGATTTTATAACAGAAATACATTTCCATGCAGGCTCTGGTTTTTCAGTCTCTGCTATTCCTGCGAGTAAAGAAGCATGGCCTCACACTGTCATCTTCAGCACCGAGCAAAGTGCCCACACTTGAACTGTGTTCGTGTGTGAGTGCATGCAGCGTCCTGCACGCACCCCTCCAACCCTTCCATCCCCTGCTCAAAATGCACACACATTTAAACACACATATGTCTTTGTCTCCGTTTCTCTCCGTCTGCCTCTGTTTCCATTTAGTGGAGGATGGGTTGGGGGGAGGAAAGAGAGAAGAAAGGTGGAGGTGGTGGTGGGGGGTGGTCAGGTTGAAAATTACAATACGTATTTATGGGTTTTTTTGTGTGCTGTTGCTTGGCAACACCACATCGGGGGTATTTACAGTTAATAAAAAGTGAGTGACATTAGCTTGGTGTATTAGAGGTAAATCGCTCATTTGCTTTAAGAGCTAGAAAGAAAGTGTGTGTGTTTGAGTGTGTGTGTCTTTTCTTTTTATTGTGTGTGTATATGTAATAAGTGCTCACTGAGCCTTATCTTTGTAGATATTTAACTCTTTGTGTGACCGAAAGGCCTTTGTTTTTGTGCTCTAACATCATTCTGTGTGTGTGCGTATACAAATATATTTTCATATTTGTGTGCACACATAAAATAATATATTGCTAAATCTTTACATTTTCATTTAAATAGTTTTTTTTCCCACATTTATTATTATATCGCTTTTTCTTTCTTTTGTGCATCAGCAGAAATCTATCCCAGGAGAAAAGCACGTTGTCATCACATTTCCTCCTTAAAAGAACGATTGTTTTATTCCACGCAGCTGTATTTTTGGTCGCTGCCATTAGTTGTTTCGATGGGAACTGTGTCAGCTGGCATTAACGTCACATCTTGTCTGTCTTTCACAGGCTTTGAAAGCATCTTGGAAGGCTTGTTTGGGCCGGGACTAGTCAAAGACATCACCCTTTTCCAAGGTAAACATGCAAAACAAACAAATCAGCATTTGCAAATACAACTGTATACAAACGCACCGACCATAGTTAGCAACGCAAATGGCAGTCTGTCCTACCGAGTCTTTGGCAGCTGACGTACCAAGTAACACACACGTGATGAAACTGTGAGGGGAAAAAATGGGAACTTTAATAAAATGAAATAAACAAAACAACAAAATGGATATTTATTGAGAGAAAAATAAAATAAATCTTTTTTATCAGTGACAATGTTGTTTGGAAGGACTAAAGTCATTTTCATCTTGTGCTCTGGAGAGCTTTTATATATTTCTGTTTTTAAAAAAAACAATAGACATGTACATACAGCAGGAGCTCAGCTCTCAATTTAGCTTAGTGTTATTCAGCGTGAGAGACACTGTGGACCTTCAATAAATATATACTGACATGACAATGAGCGACACAGCATCTCCCCATTGATCTGACTTTAAAACATTTATTGCCTACAGAAGTGACGCTGCTGCAGAAAGCATTTAGAATACAAAACAATATGATTAATTCATACAATAGCCTTTAATTTATACAGGCCAGATGTCACTAAACAGAGCTGGAGAAGGACAAAAACTGGCAGCCTGGACCAGCTGAGCTTGATGGTTTCTCTGGTAATGAGGCTCTCACTGCTCTCTAATGGTCTGATGCTAGAAGAGCTGGTAAACGGCTAAATACAGTGCAAAAAAATAGTGACTTAAATGCATCTGCTACGACTGCATTCACGGTGAGAGCACGAGCAGCAGAAACAGGGCTCGGTCTGAATCACACAGCTGATGTCACAGATCAGCACCACCCTGCAGATGTGTCTTCATGCTGACTTGAATGTGGATCTGCACATCTGTATTAAAATATAAAAATAATATTATGGTGTATGCAGTCATTCCTCTTTTTCATAAAATCCAACATGCCAGGTCTTTTGACCTTTACTTGAACCTTTATGAGATTTTTCTTCTGTCATCTTAGATGCTTTTAGTTGTAGAATATTCAAATATTCGCCTCTTCAAATTTTGTTAGAAGATTTAGCTATTGTTTATATCCCTTCGGCACAATCTCTTTTTCCCAAATGAATCCATCAAAAAAAAGAAGAGTAGAAAAACTACAGACACAAGAACAGCCCTCCCTCTTTGCTGTGCTTATTTGGTGAGTGATTAGCAAGGCCTCAGAGAGTTCCAGAGAGCAGCGCAGCATCTTCTGTTGCTTTTTCCCTGAGTGATCACTTTGCATATAAATATAGCCCAAGTTACAGCAGAGCCATTGTCTTTATCTCTTATGTATGTTGATTTTTTTATTCACATGTATTACTACCAGCTGAGCATCATTTAAAGGCCACAGTCTACATGAATGTATTTCTCACCATGTCTGTCCCTTTATGTCCTGATGTCTGCTTATAATAATAAAGCACCATGTCACATAGCTCACATAATCTAAAACCAGTTACTTGAATGATCAGAACTACAGTAGAGCCCCTTTGGGATCTGGTAATATTGGATATTTGCATCACGGATGAGCAACCAATAGATCTGCAGATCTGTGTCATGCTGTCAAGTCAAGGTGGACCAAAACATCTGAGGAATCTTTCCGGCACCTTGTCGAATCTATGCCACAAAGAATTAGATGCCATTTTATTAGGTATGCTTTACTAGCACTAGGTTTGACCACCTTTTTCCTTCAGACCTGCCTTGAGTGTACAGGTGTTGAACTCCAGGCCTCGAGGGCCGGTGTCCTGCAGCCTTTAGATGTGTCCTTGATCCATCACAGCTGATTTAAATGGCTAAATTACCTCCTCAACATGTCTTGAAGTTCTCCAGAGGCCTGGTAATGAACTAATCATTTGATTCAGGTCTGTTGACCCAGGGTGATATCTAAAACCTGCAGGCCACCGGCCCTCGAGGCCTGGAGTTTGACACCCCTGCTTTAGTGGAAGAAGCGTTAAACAATCACAGTGTACACATTTTCCAGCGCTCAATCATATGCTGGTTCCCCAGTCTGTCATCCAAACTGGTGAACCCCAGTGCATATGTAAATTTATGAAGTATATTTGTGGTTGCACAGCATTGTCTGTGTGATGACTGCTTTCATTCACATTCTGAAACTCAGGATGCCATAAACACAGGTGGTGTGTTTGCATTCAGGTATTCTATCATCTGTTGCTCTTCCCCCATGCACAACACTCACAGTACTTATAGGAATTACAAAATTAGTTTTTACATCAGCAAAACCCAATTGTTACATGTTCTCATAAATATCACGTGACTAAAGCGAAGGAAGGCTGCCCGGCTCACTCTCTCACATGCACTCTCAGAAAAAACAAGGTCAACATGGCGTTCTGGTGTCATGTGACCCATCCCCCACCAACTTAGAGCATTTTTGGAATATTTCGGGCATGTCATTTTCAATCATGCGTTACACTCGTGCGCAGACATACACACATATATACATTGTCTCCCAAGTAAAGGTGGCACATGAGGCAGCAGTGAAGCCTCCCTCACGTAAAAACACAAACGCCTAGCAAAAGTTAATCTTTGTGACTTGAAGAGGAAAAAAAACCCAAACAAAATGCTGTCTCATGAATTCTTTTCCCTCAAAGGGCCCTCACCCTCCTTTGTGTTTCCCAGACTTTCTGTTTAAAGCTGAAGTCAGCCAGCTCTCAATTTAGAGTTATATATTTACTGATTTGAGTCCTGTGGGCGCAGAAAACTTTCTCAGCCTGCGATCAAAATGTCAGAAATGTTAAAGGTCTGTTTAAGAAAGAAGGCGCTGCTACGTGATTCAGAGCAAGTGAAGCTGAAGTCTGATGATTGCAATAGTTGCCGGTAGCTTCCATGTTTTTTTCCTGTTTTTTGGTCAGTGGTTCGCTGTAATCTTGTCCACAAAACCAAACATATAAACATAATTATGCAGGGTGCTGAGGGGCATACACTAAGATATGCAAAGATATACAAGCTCACGTTAAACAGCATAGATGTACATTACAGAGAAATCACATCTGCGGTAGCTTGGAAACCGTGTATCTCTTAATCTCAAAGAAACCTGCATTTTCTCAGTTGTCACGTTTACGAAAGCAGGCTGCTCAGGCTCAGGTATGCTGAGCTGATTGTGTGCATGTAAACAAGCCGAGAGCTGAGCAGGGCCCCACACACACACACACACACACACACACACACACACACACACACACACACACACACACACACTGAAAGCTTCCTCTAAACTGTGCCAGTATCGCCTTTGTGTTTACTACTTGCACACACTCACAAATACCTTGAATACTGTTAGGGTGGGGTGGGGGTTAAGCTAGCTGTGGGACTGGAGCTTAATTGGCGCATTCCCAGGGGTACTGTAAGTGGCACAACCATGGGGTTCAAGCACAGCTCACCTTTGACCTTATTCATTCCCGTCCCGGAGACAGAGATGCACAAAGAAAACGAGAGAGTAGTAACTGAATCGTCTGCACGTCTCGCAGGAAAATGATGGGAAGCTGGAGATTTCAGGCACATATCTGCACACACACTTTAAAAAAGGGGAAAACTAGCAGACCCTATTTATAGGATTTGAACAGGTTCTTCTTAAAGAACCATGCTGGTGTTCCTTCTGACCGGATCTTACTTGTGTGTCTTACTCTGGTGTAGGGTGTGATCGCGAGGTGAAGCAGATTAAACTTTTAGCCAGAGGGGACAGAAAAGCAGCGGTTGGGATTTAGTTACTCTTTAACTCCAAATCCTATTGGTTATATTTTCATCTTCAGATATTTCATTTTTGGCAGCCTGTTGTCTTGTTCAGTACAGCGCAGCGTGAAAATCCATTTTTAAACCTTCTTTGTAATCGATTACACCGAGGCATCAAGTGCAAAGGGAGTGCTTTGCGTCGCCTCAAAACAAATAATATAGCTTTTACAAAACTGATTGCAGACTTGATGTTCACTGTAAGGGATTATACAACTCAAACAAATTGGATTATTGATTTTCTAATCTTACAAAGTAATGGAAGGTCATGGTATGGCACAAAGAAACAAACAAAAACTCCTGGAATGTCATCTGCTTGTCACTTGCCATTGCCCGCCTGCCCTCGTGTGCTCTGTTTTGCCCTGCTTTGTTTTTCAGTTATTGTCAAACTATAAATGTGAAAAAAATACAAGTTAATAATATATTCACATTTATAGCTCAAATATTATTGTTTTTCATGTTTGGGATTATTAAATTCCTTGTTCAGAACAAAGGTATCCTGTAAATATCCATATAAATATAAAGATTTTCCTTTCTTTCTTTTATTATTCTTTTCATGCTCATAAATGGCAAACAAGGAAAAAGAAAAAAAAAGATAGAAAGTTAAAGGCATGGATGGACACAGTTGCCGATATTAGCTTGTTGCAGAAACATCTATTCCCAGCACGTATGCCAGCTCACAGTCGACACAAAGAAGGAAATTGAAATAAATACGATTCCTTTAATCAAATTGACCTTACTGTGAATAAAATGTAGATTATCTGTATCAGCAGTGTAAAGAGTGCAAGGATGAGTGGAAATGCATGCAAGCCATAAACCCAACAAATGGAGAAGAGAGATGGATTGTGCAAACCCGGCCCTCTGATAAAGCAGTCACTGGAGCGGTGCCAGGTGTGGCTCCCCTATGGACCCACCTCTGCTACTCTGCCCTCCTCCCACACAGAAACACGAACAAACAGAGTGGGGAGGGGTCATCACAGTAACAAGACGGGACAGGGTAGAATTGCTGAACATGGCTTCAGGTCATGTACAAATGGTTTCTTTATTATGTCAGAGTGGACTGTATATATTTACATTTCTGTATGTGTTAAATGCAGCAGTAAAGATGAGCATCAACATATTTTTTTAATATTCTACTGTTTTTTGATTTGTTTTTGTTTTTAAATGTTGCTCTTCATTTGGACCTAAATAAATCAGGTGGTTCAATCCTGCTATTTTTCTAAAATTGCAAAAGATGAAGGTTTTTTTCTTTCTTTAAGGACAATACTGCACAATAAAGGAAATTACATAAAAACAGAGATTTTACTGCTTTATGTCTTGAAATGACTGGGTAATAGTGACGCGAGAAGAAAAAACCCCAAATGAATCAAGAATCAGAATCAGAATCAGAATCAGAATACTTTATTGATCCCTGGGGGAAAGAACAAGAAATATCGAGTTGTTTGATGAGACCGAGGGCATTCCTATACATATGGAAACAAATGCATTAAAGCAAAGCAGTTTGTGCTACAGATATATCACAGCAGAACTGCAGGCATCCCTGTGTGATGTTAAAATGAACATCATACACCTTACATTTATCAGATTTTCACAGTTTAAGGAATAAATTCTCACAGCGTAACACTTTGTGAAGCACTTTCACCTGAGATTCAGCGTGTTTGCTTAGTTGCTGAAAAGGTGTCATTTTGGAGATGGGAAGTTTTGAATTGGCACACACTTCATGTTCACAGGATGTTCTGATATTGTTCTGTCTCTCTGTGGAGCTGACTCGTCCCTCCTTTTCCCTCCTATATATATATATTGTTTTAAATGGAGGTGTAATACCATGGCAACAGCTCAGCTGTAGCCAGTGTCCTCAGCTCAGAAGGTGCTATGTTGGTAAAAATGTATTTCTGCTGCTGACATCATCTAAATCAATCATCATTTAATCATAAGAGGACAATCACAGGATTATTATTGATATGAGAAACCACTGATCAGAGGTTGTTGTTGTTTTTAATTGGATTATATGGAGCTTTTATGGTTTATGTCATACATGTTTAAAATTACAAAACTTGATATTTTGATTTCAGCTTCCACCTCTCCATCAGCCTGAGATGAGATCAGAACCACACACCCAGTAATATCTGCCCATTCTGTGCACAGAACAACAAAACAACAACAACAAAAAGTAAAACTAGTCAAGCCTCCAACAGCAAATAATTAATTATAAATGTTAAGTGAAAAGTAATAGTAACATGCAGCTAATTTGTTCTGTATAAATATAAGAGTGTTTACACACGTCGCCATTTTTGCAACCAGAATTTTCTGTAAACATAAATTTTTGTGCTGACACATTTGCATTTATAGTAGAGAAATGCATTATATTTCTATACAAGTGTAGAAATATATCTTTAGCTGCTCAGATTTGCTTTAAATGTGATTTTGTGGTTCTCTTAATTGCCCACAATGCTCGTGTGTATTTGATCAGTTACATTCTCTTTTGAAATGTGAATTTAGAGCAGAGTAAAACACCTGCAGAGGCAGAGAGTCTGTCAGGATTTTTGGCTTAATGATTGGAAGCTCATAAAACTACAGGGAGACACCAGTGAACTTTGTCATCCAGAAAAACACATTTAAGAGAAATCAGTTTTGGAAATTGGACATTCTTTGTGAAGACGGCTTCAGGGCGTGAATCTCTCAAACTGACCCAGATATATGCACAAAGACGTCCACGCTGCTTTTGGAGGTTTAAGGCAATAATGTGCCTGATACCTGATTGAGCTTATCTGTCAGTCACAGGTGTGGTTCATTTTTACACGGCATGCTTGTGGACTGAATCGCTGGAATTTAGTCAGTCACTGTAATTAAAAGTGAATCACTTTATTGCTGTTGTTGATCTGGGTGGTGGTCCCTGAGCTGTCAGTCTCTCTCGGCTTATCAGTCTGGATTTCTCCCTCGATTCATATACACCTCGCTAATGATCTGCACCTGGATATTCAAACTGAATAATTGTAGTAGCGCCTCGCAAATCAAGTAAAACACACATTAAACCTTCACCACGTTGTTTTGCTCTTTGTTTCTACTGTTACACTAACAGATTCTGCTCCCGGGTAGCACATCAGTCAACTTATGAGATCCTGAGCATTATGGGAGTTTGAGTTAGTCATTAATTGCATACTTTCTGTCATGCAGACTGCGAGCCAGAGGAGGTGTCTGACTGGTCCTTTGATGAAAACTGTCTCTTCTGCTGCTTAAGACGTGAGAAAGTCAAGGTAGGTGCAGTTCAGTCTCCCTTTTAGATAAGACCCTCTCATTCTAATTACATGGCTGTGATTTCACAACTCTTCAGAAGCTGCTGGGTGGTATCACTTTTACCTCACAACACGAAGGTGCCTGATGTAAATGGAGCAGGGGTTTTTTTTATATAATATGGAGTTACATTAGGTTTTGTTTTCACCTGAATAAACTAATGTTAGCTTTTTAGCAGCACACTCGATTGAACAATTTGTTTCAAAGAATAAGCAGACTACAGAATATGGGGGGTGATGGGTGGGGGCTACATTTTATAATGTGTAACTGTGTAATTGTGCTGTGGCATAGCTGGGTTTATTTATTTCATACTTTGAGTGCAAAGGAAAACATTTTTTTAAGTTTTTATTTGTTTTCATAGATGTGGTTACTGGGAATTAACCACATTAATTATTAGTTAGGAGAGCAAGATACAAATAGATAACTTAATACCCACCCTTTCTCTTCCACATATCCAGTTAAGAGTCAAAGGGATGCTGGAGACTATCCCAGCAGTCATAGTGTGAGAGGCAGGATACATCCTGGACAGGTGTTATAGAGCTAGACGGCTACATTTACACATGGGGGTTAGGTCACCAAGTAACCTAACCCCATGCATTTCTTCGGACTGTGGGAGGAAGCCAGAGTACCTGTAGAGAACCCCAACTCACTGGGTTTCAACCCAGGGTCTTCTTGCTGTGAGGCAAACCACACCACCATCCCTGCACCCAACTTAATAATTGCAGCTTTTGTCCAAAGGAAAAAAACGTTTACATTTTTAAACGGCCCTCAATATAAGATGTGTATTAGAACACACTTTTATTATCTAAGGCTTACAAATAAGATGTAAAGGCCTTGAATAATGTATAACAACATGTTCCACTGAATGCGTGCTGTGAGTGTGGAGAAGGGGAATGTTTCACTGCAGTGTTGTACAAATTTAAAAAAAATAAAACATGATGTGCGTTTCAATTAGCTATTTCCTCGCTAACATTGTCGCTAACAGAGGCGAATACTGCTCTCTGCCTGATACAGCACTTATGTTACTTTCATGAAGCAGCTCATTTTCTTTGTCCACGTGTTCTGTATTTTAGTTCACTGCCAGTTTTAAGTTTTCTATTGAAAAATACCACATCTTTGTCTCTCTCCTCCTCCTGGTGCACTACTTGTTATTTGTGTTGTTTAACCATCTGTGGTCTTGACCCCAATTTAGCCTATAAAAGGACTGTGACATAATGATTTGGAGGTGAGTGAGTGAGTGTGTGTGTGTGGAAGGAGGAGGAGGATGCTGACATGATTGTAAATTAGTTGGTCTCCCACAGTAGCCTAGATGCTGGTACACCCTCACAGTTTCTTAGCCCAACAAAAAGCATCCTGAACAGAATAATAATGAGTTTATTGGACAAGCTTCTATTTAATATATACAAATGCAAGCATGTGTTCATCGTGCTTCTGCTCATTCTGCTGTGCAGAAGGCCTTCGTGTTTTGCGGCCATTCATTGTTACCGCCCTCCGCTGCACTTAAAAATGAGGAACAAAAAGAGCAAGGATGCTACGGGGCCCTCAACAGTCTCTGGATGATTCCAAATGGGCTCCCTTGTTGCATGTGGCCTCCGCTCTCTTATCACCACAGTCGCCATTATAAACACCGTAGGGGGTGATGTGGATGAAAAGAAAAATTCTTTTTTAAATATCAGAAGAAAGTAGAAACGACTTGTTAGTCTGGAGGCTGTAATAAGAGATGAGTCACATATGTTGTGTTAATTAACATATCAATATTATCATATGCTTTTGAATGCATTTCTATGAGGGCAGTTGATTGGGGGAGGGACACTGAAGCCTAAAATATGCACAATAATTTATAAGAAATCATCTTATAGCTTTAATGCCTGTCACAGTGTTCATTAGCAGACTTTTTGTCTTTTCATTTGTTTTTGTTCGTTTTATTTTATTTTTTTTCTTCCTATTTAGCTCAGGGTAAGTACTTTTTGGGATGTTGACCTAATGTATATGTGGACACATGTATGAAAGAAAGGTATGTGAGAATAAACAAGGAAGGGAAGGAAGTTAGGAGGGGGCGTCCTTCTGTCAGACATACATTGTTGCTTGTTTTTCAACTTGACCCTGGTCCGACCCCCAGGGTCGACCATCTGTCTGCTAAAAACATCCCCATTTTTCCACCACTCACTACCATCTCCGAGCCCCCATTGGCCTCTGCCTTTCTCTGCGCATGAAGCCATGTAGCAGTAGCTAACAGTAGCTGCGTTGCCAGAGCTCACTTGTGCATGTAATAGCATAATCACAGATAAGATATGAATAAAAAAACTGAAGCAGTTATCGGAGTAAAATCAATTACACAAAACCTTGCAGGGTTTCCAGAAGGTTTATTTTTTCCACCATATTTTCTAAATACTCAATAACTGTTAGCCGCTCACATAATGCAAACCATGGCACCTCAATTACATTCGTCTTCTACGCTCAAATACAGGTTTTTATTAATATGTTAGGGTTTCAAGTGCTCTCCCTGTCTCGCCATTATTACCCTCTGCTTGTTTGCAAGATGCCAGAGGAGCTTCAGTGGGCGGGAACCATCGATTCATTGATCTGAAGCCATGCAAACCACCAGCAGAAAGAGAGCTGAGGGGTTAAAATAAAGAGAACAGAGACTGGAGAAAGCTTTTCTCATCTAAGTTCCTTTGTTTCCTACCACTCATGCACACAGACGCATACATGCACTCAAATTTCCTCTCTATTGTACTGTAAGGATCTAAAGGCCTCGATATCCTGGAAAAGTTAGTGGTTTGGATTAAAGAGAGCCTCCCTTCAGTCAGACTGGGGAAAACAGTGTTTGTAGATCACATGCAAGATTAGAAATTAGTTTGCTCTCAGTTACAACTAAATGGGGTCAAGCACATGTGATCTGTTTGTGAGAATACACCAATTAACTGATAAATTCTGAAGCAACAGTCACCTCAAGGTGCTTTATATTGTAAGGTAGACCCTACAATAATACATAAAGACAAAAACCCAACAATCATACGACCCCCTATGAGCAAGCACTTTGGCAAGAGTGGGAAGGAAAAACTCCCTTTTAATAGGAAGAAACCTCCAGCAGAACCAGGCTGAGGGAGGGGCGGGGCCATCTGCTGGGACCGGTTGGGGTGAGAGAAGGAAGACAGGATGAAGACATGCTGTGGAAGAGAGACAGAGACTAATAACAAGTATGATTCAAGGGAGAGAGGTCTATTAACACACAGTGAGTGAGAAAGGTGACTGAAGAAGAAATACTCAGTGCGATGTAGATGCTACATGATGGTGATTTAACAGCCACACAGTAACATAGCCACTCTTAAATTAGAGCAAAATTATTTGCAAACATGTTGTAATCTGAGAGTGACGACAGTCACTCCCAAGTCAACCACGGTTGTTTGTTGTTTCGATTGCCTTGGTCACCCAGCATTTAAAGCTACCACACGCTCAACCACTTGCAGTCATTTGTCAAATAAGAAAAATTTGATGCAATCACCCGGCAACCACTGAATTTTTAAATCCTAATTTTACTCCACAGCGGCTGAGCCATTAGTAGTAGTAGTGAGTGAGTGAGTGGGGAAGTGAAGACGTGTCCTGCCACCACTTCTCCCTGTAGTGTTATGTTATTGTCATCTTAATAAAAACGTGTGTGTGTGTGTGTGTGTGTGTGTGTGTGTGTGTGTGTGTGTGTGTATGGCTTGCCCTGCAATATTTTCAGTAGTCAATAAGACTAGGAAAATGCAATATAAATGCATACTATGCTTGCCAAGATAAATAAAAAAGGCCAACGTATGGAGAAGTCTGCTTGTCCCCGCTGTGCAACCCATCTTCTGTTGACACAGAACTGTCGGAGAATTGTCGACATTGAGAGCTGGACATGTTTAAACAATCATAATGAAAAAATGCTAGTGGCATAATGTGGTGGTAGTGTGAGGGTATTAGTTTCTTTCACACCAAACCTTTACTCACTCGTTGGTCTCTGCGTGTTTGTCTGTGTAGGAGCACAGCGTGGAGAACGGTGGAGGCAGCCACGTGCTGTCGGAGTGTGAAGACTTCAAACAGGAGCAGTCTCGGATCAGCCGACTGGAGAGACAGGCTCAAGACTTCCTCAATGCTGTGTTCCACAGAAAAGGTACGACATACATACCCTTCATTAGTCATTTCTTCATCAGTCATTATTCATTTATTAAATTCAGTCTAGACATGGATATCCAGAGTAATTTAACATGGGTCTATTTTAGAATTAATATGATACTTTTCCTATATATTTTTATTTAAATTTTCTTTTTTCTGTCATCAATATATGTTACATTGCTGGTTGTTTGTATTAAACATGTTTCAAATAATGATGTTTTAGCTTATATGAAAGTAGTCCATAAATGCATGCTTTAAAACTCTATTTTAGATCATTTTATTCTACTTTTGAGTCGTCATGATGTAATTGATGCCCTTAGTATTGTCCTCTCAAATTCATAAGTTTTGCTGTGAGAACATAAGCTTTAACTGCATGCTTTTTAAACATATTTCTAAGGGGTAGCCAATCAGAGTAAAGTTGGCTTAAATGACAAACTGAGAGTCTGCATCAAGGCCCAGTGTAGTAGAAAAATAAAGAATGTTTGCGTGATGGTTCAAGGCAATGTTAGTCTTTACCCTGTAACACAGAAAGTTGGTCAGTTACCCACTGGTTGCAATACCAAGTTGTATGTAACTCTTTTCCTCAAATGGAAAATAATTTATTCATAAATAGCTAAACTATGTCTTTTGCATTCTGTAGCTCAGCTTTGGGAACTAAAATAAATAGCTCTTGTAGAAATTATCCATCATGCTCAGCATTAGGACTTGAATTGGAGAGGACACAAGTCTATGTTTGGGAGCAATGTGTAATGCCTGAGTGTCATTGATGACATGACAGTACAGCTGGAATAAAAAGGGGCCAGGGATTGATCCCAGAGGGATCCCAGATGTAACTTTGTCAGAGTTTCACATTTGGGACAAAGACATTTCTGCCTTGCAGGTAGACCCTAAACCGGTTGAGAAATGGGCCAGAGAGGCTGACCCACTTTTTCGACCTGTGCTAACAGTGCCATGGTTATTGTGAGAGGCCATGCAGGAAGCTCTGTACAGTGTTACTTTACACATTGGTGTTACAGTGAGAAACTAGTACTGAATTTAGGACGTTGGATACTTTCAAAATAAGATAGGTGAACTCATTAGTGCTGATTGCCACATACATACACCCCTAAGAAAAAGTATCACTATAACAGTCATAACAAAAATGCATGAATTTAGCAATGGACTTTTCACATGGACTTTTGGGGATTCATCTGAATTTGATGTGGTCTTACAATACAGTAGTCCTTCGCTATAACGCGGTTCACCTTTCGCGGCTTCACTGTTTCTATTAGTTTTTTTGTGCAATTTTGCATGCTTTTTTTTGTTTGTTTGGGTTTTTTACATCACATTGTGTTCTGCGTCCTGATTGGCTGTAGACCACTGTCAATCAGTCTCCTTCGTGCCGTGTCTCCTGTACAGTACAGAATGCGTTCAGCTTGTCTAATCGATCACTAGCAGTGTGACTCTGAAGTACTGTACTGTATGTTTGTAAGTTTTCTCCCAACAAACACAACAATGGCCACGAAATGTTTTGCACCGTCAAAGGCACCTGCGGTAGCACCCAAAAGGCAGAGGAAGATGCTAACCATCGCTCACAAAAAGTTTTTCTTCTGGACATGCTAAAGGAAGGTAGAAGTTAACATATTTTTCGGATTATAAGGCGCATTAAGCGAAACAAAACAGTCAGATAAATCAAACTTTACTCAACTCATTCTTCTTGCTTCCTCTGCTTCCGTACCATTGATTCATTAATGTTAAATTCTCTGGCAGCTGCTCTATTCCCATGTTCTTGACCCGAAAACAGGGTTTGATCTTTGGTTTCATTCTACAAGAGAAAAGTGTGAAAATGTTCATGCCTGTCTGAGAAAAGTGTATACAGTGTATAGTGAGAGGTTTGACAGCCTTAAAATATCTATACAGTGGTCCCTTGTTTATCATGGTAGCTACGTTCTAAAAGTAACATGCGATAGGTGGAATCTGCAAAGTAGCCAATTTACAATTACAGTGGAACCCTGACTTACAAATCCCCCGTTTCATGAAAAATTCAAGTTACGGAGGCACTGAATGGCAATATTTTTGCCCGTGTTACAGCAAAATGCCCGAGTAACGAAATAAGCTGGCTCTGATTGGCTGAGCCTACAATGCCTTCCAAATCATGTGACAACCCCTTAGCTTCCGTACTTGCGCTTTGCTGTTCCACTTGAACGACGTATTGTTGTTCTAGTTAGCAGCCTATAGCCTATCGTTCAGCATCGCCTCAGTCAAAACGCGCGATGGGTGCTTCGACTTACGAAAATTTTCGACTTGCAAAAGACCCTCGGGAACGAATTAATTTCGTAAGTCGGGGTTCCACTGTATTATAGATCCTGAGACTGATTATTCTTTAGGCCATTTAGGATTCATCTCTGTCGTCCATGACACTGATTATTAAGCATGGGAGGAGTTCATATAGTCTTTATCACTTTTTTTATTGCACATCTGTTGTATAGTAGCCATATAACAAATGTGAGTAAATTAGTTTTGAATGTAAGTCTGTGTCAAATAAGCTTTTTGAATCACCCAATAATAACAGTAGTTTGCATGATATCAACCATCATAGCCGGTAACACTTGGGATAAAAGTGCAAGATTAAATCCAATTTTTCTTGTGACGTTTAAAATAATTCGTTTCACTCAAAGGGTAATGAAAAGGAAAGAACCCTACGTGTCAAAAAGGTTCAAAAGTAACACTGATGTTTGTTTGGGAGAACTGCTCAGACTGCTGACTTTGCTAAAATGTAAGAATCCACTTGATGACCTTTACACTAAGGCAGATGCAGTGGGATGAAAAACTATCCAAAATGTCGAGGTGCTCGATAGTTGAGGAGTTCAAGCGCTTCGGTTAATCTCAGAAAAGTCACAGCGCAAACTTTCACGTACAAAGAACACAGCTTTATGAGGAGTGAATATGTATTTTTTCTAAAAACAGATCTCAAGTATTTAGCATTTAAAAGGTTAAATATTCTTTGTTCACACTTCAAAGGAGACAGCGCAGATCATATTTTTCACAGATAATAAAATTAATGCAGCCTTTTTGTTGTCAAATCTTTGTCAACACGATGCCAAATATTTGAGGTGTGACACTTGATACTGCAGTGTGAACGCAGAGTTGCTGCTGCTTAAATAGAATATCTGTTAAAATGTTTTGTGCTTTTTGTTACCTTTGAGAGCTTCTATTCTCCATTATCTGACACATGTTAAGCCGGACTCCTCTGTCATTTCCTGTAAAAGGCACTGTTGCAAGAATCCCTGTTTCTTACATTTTCAATTTGACTCTTTCCTCACATCTGATTTAAGTCACTTATTATGCATTAGGGCATATCTGGCATTATGTATGCGCTATTATTCCCCTGTTCCCATTGAGCTAAATGTTCGCCCCAGCACCAGTCTTACAGGTTTAATGTCAAACCAGAAGTGGACATGATTTCATCAATACTTGGACTACCTCCATCAAATTAACTGATCCATATCTGCGGAGCGCTTTGGTCACGCAGTTAGTCTCTCAGTCCAATCAGAGACTTTCTTATTTCTTCACTCTTTCTCTCTCTCTCTACAAAACAGGAATTACTGCTGTAGTGCTGTTGTCTTACACTTTCTTTAAACTCTGTTCACTGCCCGGTGCTATTGTGTCTTCAGTTGTGAATGGAGTCACGCTGAATGATCTGCTAATAATTAACTGAAGCATCGAGCCATTGGATAAACAATTTGGACCCACATCACATGGCCAAAAATTCCTTCAGCACTTCCTAGTTTGACTCCCAGCTGGCCGGCCCTTTGCTCCACGTTTTCCCTCTGCTGCAGCTGTCAGAAATAATAATATCTATATTCAATTGTAACTTAAATTTTTTTTAGTTGACCAAAAATTCTTAAAACAAGTTGAACCAAGCATTGAAGTCGAGCCGTGATTTTACATTTAAGTTGGCTGTTCACCTGTCAGGGACTCCAGATGACCGTTACTATATAGCCGGTATATTTCTATGATGGACTTAAGTGCTCGTTTTAATTAATGTGCATTTCCCCTATAACATAAAAAAACATGAAGAAACTGTAGACAACAAGCTTCAAGCTTGCCTCAAGCTGCTTAGTATTGTAAGGTAAAGACCCTAAAATGATCAGCTTTCAGTCAGTACAATCACCTTCTACTGAATATCTGCATATTTGCTGAATTGCCATAAATCCCCTTTTTATTAAGAAGACATCATGTTCTGTCCTGAGGCAGGTGGATGCTTTGTGACGGAGGTGAACTGAGTCTGGTGGAGACTGTAGCTGTTGTATTTTTAATTTTTTTTCCAGGAGGAAGGAAACAGATGTTTGTCAAGTCAGTGCCCAGCCTCAATCAATCTGGCTTCACTCACACAGGGAGAGATGCCTGTGGAGCTGCTATATTTAGACAGAAAAACAGTCCCACAGGCATAGGCATGATGTGGCGCACACACACACACACACACACACACACACACATATATACATACACACACACACACACACAGTCATTCATACAGTAACAGATCCACAAGCACGGTTAGGCACAGAATCACTGATCTGACAGCGCCTGTGGTCATTTTGTATCATGAGAGAAAATGATGTTTAGCAACAACATGCAGCGCTCTGAGAGTGCAAACCTCCACCCGAGTAGCTTGCTCTCAGGGCAGTATGTACCTTTAAGGGATTAGTGTTGTGTTTGTAGATAGTTTCTTCTTTTTAAATGTACTTTAAGGAGTTTGTAGTGCAGGAAGGTTTCTTTTAAGTTTTTTTATTTGCTCTGTTGAAATCAATGTAATACACTTAACCTAATTTTGTCTGTAATTATTGTTGTTATTTATGTGGATTTACTGCATGTGTTGCATTCATTTCATTGTTTGGTGAAATTTGTTTAAGTCTTTAGTCACAAAAATGTATTTTAAAAAAGTAATATAGTGTATACCATATAGTGTATACCTCTGTATACCATTATTATCACTTTGACCTTCAGATCGATCTG